AGGTGCTTCACAAGGTTGTTTAGTTCATCCTCCCTGCCCGCTAAGCCGTCAGTGTTATCTGTAAAGCGCAGGTTGGTGATAATTCTGCCACCAATGCTGACCCATCCTTCGTGGTCTTCTAATACGTCTGTCATCAGCCTTTCCAAGAAAATGTTGAAGAGGGTAGGTGATAGAAGACAGCCTTGTCTAACTCCGACAACCGTTCGGAACCATTTACCTGTGTTGCCATTCAGTAGTACAGCACTGGCGGCATGGTCATAAAGATGTTCAATGACTCTGATGAGGTTGGCAATGCGCCGTGCCATACTCTGTCAAAAGCCTTTTTGAAGTTGATGAAGACGGGATACAGATCTGTTGGTGCTGAGGATGTTTTTCGCATATAATTCTGAAGATCTGTTCTGTTGTGCTTCTTCCTGCCCTAAAACCAGCCTGTTCTTCTGCAATGATGGTCTCTGCCTGTGGTTTCAGCCTATTGAGAAGTATCCTCAGCATGACTTTGCTGGCATGGCCTATGAGACTTATGGTGCGGTAGTTCTGGCACTTTTGCAGATTCCCCTTCTTTGGTAATGTGATGACCAGTGATTGTGTCCAGCAGGTTGGCCATTCTCCTGTCTGTCAGATTTTATTTTAGATGTTTGTAAGGACATCAATCATGGCTTCTCCACCTGCTTGGATCAGTTCTGCTGAAATGTTGTAAACTCCAGGAGACTTCCCTTTCTTTAGGGACTTGACAGTTGCTTCTACTTCCTCTCGCAGAATGGGGTTGGTGTCCTCATTGGTGGAAGGAGGACAGTTGAGTACCACAGGGTCACCTTTAGTTGAATGGTTGTACAGTTCTGAACAGTATTCAGTCCACCTTGAGAGAATGCCTTGTTCTTCTGTCAAACATTTCCCTGCTTTATCCTGGATGATGGAGACTCGTCCTTTGTTGGTATTGGTGAGATCTTTGATGGTCTGGAATACTTGATTTGTGTTGTTCTTCTAGATGTTTTCCTCTACTTTACTACATTGTTTCTCTATCCAATCTTCCTTCGCCTTCTTCATGGATCTCCTGATCTTGATATTGCATTGCTCCATCCGCACTTCTTTTTCTCCAGTTCTCGTCGTTGGTCGCACATGTCGAGAATCTCTGTGGTGACCTATGGTTTCTTATTTTTTGGCGTTTGCCTAACACCTGGTTTGCAGTCTCTAGAACAGTCTCTACTGTTTGGTCTAAGTTCAGTTCATCCTCCCCAAGAACAAGTAGAGGTGCAAATTTCCCTCCTATCATGGCCTTGAAGGAGTCTGCAATATCTGGGTCTCTTAACCTGTCCAGGTCAAATTTCAACCTAATGCTTTTTGGCTTGTTAGATTTCTTTAGACGGGTGTGAAAAGTCTTCAGCAAATCGTGATCGCTGCCAATATCTGCTCCTGGGAAGCTCCTTCTTGCAATGTTGATGCACGACTTGAATCATTTCTGCACTAAGATATAGTCAAGTTGGCTGTGATGCATTCCATCTGGGTGGTGCCATGTCCATCTTCTGGACACTTTGTGGGGGCCAAGAGTGTTCGCCAGAATGAGGTTGTTGTAGTTGGCAAACTCCAGGAGCCTAATCCCTCTGTCATTAGTGTCTTCATTGCAATGTTCTCCATAAGTATCTGGCCAATCTTTCTTTGCTTCCTTTCCAATTTCTGCATTCCAGTCTCCTTGGACTATCAAGATGTCTTTGTTGGACGTTTGGCTAATGACTTCTTGTAGCTGGTCGTAAAAGTCCTCCACTTCGTTGTCGCTGTGGTTTGTGGTTGGAACATATGCCTGGATGACTGTGATGTTGAAGGGCTTAGCTCGCATTCGTAGGGTAATGATACGGCTGGAAACTGGTTGACATCCTAGAACGCAGTTCACGATGTCTTTGTGAACTAGCAATCCAACACCTTGTTCATGTCTGTCGTCTCTGCCACTTAAGTAGATCTTGTGTCCTTCATCAGTCATGTTTTCTCCAAAGCTTTTCCACCTCATTTCACAGAGTCCTAGAATGTTCCATTGATATCTTGCCATTTCGTGGGTGAGTTCTTGCAGTCTCCCCGTGGCACATAGGGTTCTAACATTCCATGTACCAATTGTGATGTTCTCTCTTCCTCTGATCTGTGTTACACCAGTAGCACACTTGTCGCCTCCACCCTGATGTGCAGTGGAAGAGGCGGTCGTTGGTAACCCGGGCGACGACCGATCCGGTATGGCATGGGGTTCTTTCGTAGTCATCTGTGTGTCTTGGGCAGTTCGACCTAGCGGCGCCCATCCGTTGACCGTTGACCACAGCCAATCTCCACATAACCAGTGGTTCGGCTTCGTCCTGCACACGTGGCCGTTGAGTCTTCTTTGAGACTCTTCGGTCCTGGGCGGTGACTTCATCGAGGTAAGTTCATACACCCAATCAGGTACCGCGTCTGCACCCTAGCCTTTGATACTCCAACACCAAACCTGCAAGGCAGCATATATATATATATATATATATATATATATATATATATATATATATATATATATATATATATATATATATATACATATATGTATTTATACGTATATGTATATGTATATATGTACATACATATATATATATATACATATATATATATATATATATATATATATATATATATGTATATATATATATATATATATATATATATATATATATATATACATAATATGTATTTATACGTATATGTATATGTATATATGCACATACATACATACATATATATATATATAGATAGATAGATAGATAGATAGATGCATATATATATATATAGATAGATAGATAGATAGATAGATGCATATATATATATTTATATATATATATATAAGGATTGTTTACATATGTAAATACTTTCCTAGTGTTTTTTTTCCCACTGATTTAAAACGGAGACATCTTGAAATCCAATATTAACACGGAGAGAGATAGCCTAGAAAATTTTCGCTGCAATGATAGAAAGGTTAAACAAATTGCATATTTTGCCAAACATGCGCATATAAGCTTGTGTGTGTACATGTATACATATATCAGGTAAATTAATATTCCACTTGATTGCATTTTCATAATAGACCACCTACGCAGATGTAAAATGTAAGTAGTAAAAAAATCAAATGAACCTTTTCAGCAATCTGATCTTATTGAGAATAGCAGTTGATATGATTATAAAATTACCTCGTTTTCGCTGAAGTGTTCAATTAAGCGATGGCGGCAATACACACTCAATTCTAATGGGCTTCCTTTTGAGAGACTTTTTCAGACCAGCTGCCATGATACTTCTGTGTCGGGCAATACATCACACAGTTGGTTATGTGGTGATAGCGGAAACGAGCGTCATTGATACCGTTTGATTTGAATGACAAAAAAATCTATTTTCCTTCTCTCTCTCTCGCTCTCTCTGTCTCTCTCTCTCTCTCTCTCTCTCTCTCTCTCTCTCTCTCTCTCTCTCTCTCTCTCTATCTATCTCTCTCTAATTTCCAGATTTATACGCATGTCACCCTATCCTTGTATTGATTATCTGCATCTGTTAGTGTATCCTTTATATAAGACCCAGGGTTTCTTAGTTCGTTTCCTGTATAGCTTTTTACTTTGCATTACTTAATATTGTTGATTATGTCACCTGTTTTTCTGCTGCTTCATAGACTTAATCTTATATATATATACCTATAGTCTTCTATATATCTAACTATCTATATCTATATACCAAAATATATGTTATCTATACAGATTTATAAATACAAACACCCACACATTACGCACACACACACACATATATATATACATAATGACTTCATAAATTCAAATAGGCGCAATATAGTAAAAAATGTGGAAGTTATTAATAAAGTAAATGTTGGCAGCGACCATACGTTGGTCAGAGGCCAAATTAGATTACACCTCAGAAGGGAAAGGAATAAACTCATACGAAAACCGCAGCCAAACTCAGCTAACGCGAAAACCAAAGCAACAGAAATTAGCATTAACATCCAAAACAGATATTCTCTTCTCAATGACGAAGATCTCAACATTGACCAAATCAAGAAACAGTTCAATGACATAATAAAGGAAGCTGCACTTGAAGTAGGCGGTAAGAACGTTAAGCAAAGCCCCAGTAAGCTCTCGATAGAAATTAAAGAACTTATGCAAAAACGTAGGGTCATGAAAGCATCGTCAAATAGGGACAAAATAGAATTAGCTGAACTAACAAAAAATATAAATAAAAAGAAGAGAGATGTACGGAAATTCAATACTCAGATGATAAATGAAACAGTGATGTCAGGTACCAGCATGAAAACATCTAAGGAGACTTGGAATAGGGAGAAATCAAATATATCCAATAAAGAAACCAGACTAAGAAGTGACATATGATAAGAATGAAAGCATAAGAGTAGTGGAAAACTTTTACAGGGATCTATACAACGCAAATGAACAGCCACGGATAAATAGAGAAGTACCTAACATCGCAAAAGAAGAAATAATGAGAGCGCTTAAAGGCATGAAGAGATGGAAAACACCAGACGGTATTACTATACACCTTATAACAGATGCAGGAGTAATTGCAACAGTGAAAGTAGCCAATTTTTTAAAACAAATGTCTTCTCAATGGAAAAAATCCGAAAGCATGGAAAAATGCAACCATTATTTTAATCCTTAAATAAGGGGACAGGAAGGATCTAAAAAAATACCGACCCATAAGTCTCCTTTCATTTACTTACAAACTGTTCACTAAAACCATCATAACTTGCATCTCTGACAGTCTGGATTCTAACTAGCCTAGAGAACAGGCAGGCTTTCGCAGTAGATTCTCAACGACAGCACTTACGCTCACCCAAAGAAGAGAAAAAATAAACGAATGTAGGAAACCCCTGTGTATGACATTCATCGATTACGAAAAGTCATTTGACTCTCTACAAATACCAGCAGTAGTAGAAGCTATTTGAAGACAGGGAGTAGAGGAGGTATATTGTAAAATATTAGAAGACATATACGAAGATGGGACATGTGTGTATGTGTGTGTGTATATTGGTATGTATGCATACATATATGTAAACAGTATGTATATATATATGCATATATATATATATATATATATATATATATATATATATATATATATATATATATATATATTTATTTATATATATGTATAAATACATATACTTATTTAGAAATATGTATGTATTGACACACACGCAAACACACATACACATATATGTATATATACATGTATATATGTATGTATATATATGTATATACACACATATAGACATATATATGCATATATATATATCGTATACATCCATATGTATATACATATATATATATATATATATATATATATATATATATATATATATATATATATATATATATATATATATATATACATATGGATGTATACATATATATATGCATATATATGTCTACATGTGTATATATACATATATATATGGATGTATATATATGTATATACACACATATAGACATATATATGCATATATATATGTATACATCCATATATATATATATATATATATATATATATATATATATATATATATATATACATATATATATATATCTATATATATATATATATATATTTATATATACATATATATATATATATATATATATATATATATATATATATATATATATATATATATATATATATATATGTATATGTATATATATGTATATATACATACACAACCACACACACATTTATATATATATATATATATATATATATATATATATATATATATATATATGTATATATATACATATATATATATATATATATATATATATATATATATATATATATATATATATATATATATATATGTAAACATATACTATATATATATATATATATATATATATATATATATATATATATATATATATATATATATATATATATATATATTTATATATACATATATATATATATATATATATATATATATATATATATATATATATATATATATATATACATATATATATATATATATACACACACACATACCTATATGTATATATGTATATATTCATCTTCTTTGTCTTAGCTTTTCCCTACTCGGGGTCGCCATTTCTGATGAGATTTCTCCATAGAACTCTGTCCAATGCCTCTGCCTCGTCTAGATGTTTCTCCCTCATATTTTTTTGAACATCCTTCCATCTGGTCTTAGGCCTTCCTCTTGGTCTGTTTCCCTCTATTTCCATCTCCATTGCCTGTCTTCCCATATGATCTTCGTTTCTTCTTAGCAAGTGTCCATACCATCGCAGTCTTGATTCCTGAAAATTCTTTGATATTTCTGTTACCTTAAGTGATCCTCTTACATAGTTATTCCGTATGCAGTCCATCTTTGTTACCCCCACCATCCATCTGAACATTTTCATTTCAGCAACATCCAATTTTCTTTCTTCAACTTTCCTCAGAGGTGCATTTTCTAAACCATAGGTCATAGCTAGTCTGACCACAGACTTATGCACCTTTCCCTTCAACTTTACAGGCACTCTCTTGTCGCAGATCACTCCCGAAACCTTTCTCCAATTATTCCATCCACATTGAATTCGGTGTTTAATCTCTCTTCCTATACTGCCATCTTCCTCAACCATCGCTCCCAAATACTTAAAGTGGTCCACTCTCTTCAGGTTCAATCCGTCTGTTTGTATCGTTGATTGTTGATCTCCTTCTGTCTGTTGTGAAATACTCTGTATTTTTCCTGCTTATCTTCAGCCCTCTACTCTCCAATGCAGTTCTCCATCCTTCCATCTTCCTCTGTAGCTCCTGCTTCGTCTCCGCCACTAACACGATGTCATCGGCATACAGTATGCACCATGGTGGCTCTTCACGCACTTCCTCTGTCCTCACATCCATAACCACATTGAACAGTATTGGGCTGAGGGCCGAGCCTTGGTGCAAGCCAACCTTAACCTCAGACTTATCTGTCATTCCAACTGTGCATCGGACCTTGGTGGTAACATTCTTATATGTCTTTTGAATCATTTTCACGTATTTCTCCGTCACTCCTCGCTTGCGCATTCATCTCCACACTTCTTGTCTCGACACTCTATCATAAGCTTTCTCTAGGTCTATAAACAACATGTGTAACACTTCTTGCTTTTCTCGATACTTTTCCATTGTTTGTCTGAGGCAGAATATCCCGTCCACCGTTCCTACTCCTTTCATGAAGCCTAACTGTTGTCTTCCAATAAACGCTTCCTGTCTTATTCGGTCATCTATTATTCTTTCTAATAGTTTTAAAGTATGTGACATTAGTTTTATGCCTCTATAATTTTCACAATTTTGAACATTTTGGATCCAACACAGGCGTAGATCTAGCAGTTGCAGATGGTCTTCGCTTGGGTCTCTGTTGATCTGTTGAAGCAGCCTTGTCTGCGACAGCTTCCTGTTTGCGTTTCCTTTCTTTTTCCTGCACCCTCTTCAGCTTTGTTGCTGCAAGTTTTAGATGGCATGCATTGAGCCATTTTGCTTTATTTGTATAAAGTGTCTCTGCATCAGTATCAATGCAGATATCCACAGGCATGGAATCAAGGGATTTAAACTGTTCAACATTACTAACAAAGTCTCTATACACTTGGAGATAATTTCCAGATTTGCTGTCTGTAGGACATTTCAAGTCACTACCAGACTTGCCACAGATGTTACACTTCGTCCAGTCCATTTTCATCTAAACCTTGAAGAGATGTAAAAGCATTAATGAGTGATCCGTAGTAGTTATCGCTCGCCCTTGATAGCACAGTAGGCTATGATAAAAATACAGCTCCTAGTACATTCTGAAACATCAAAATTTGAATAATCTGAAATAAGTGTGGTGGACACATTATTAACATCAATTCATCTATTAGTGACATCATAAGTAAATCCATGCCAGTCATTAGCTTTTAATTAAGTAAAACATTCATTTCAGCAGAAAATTGGCAATTTCAAGTGCAAGAACGGTCATTTTGCCCCAAAATTTCCATATTATGAAACTATCTATGCCACTTCAAAATGACTAGAAAAACTCCTGATGGTTTTAGGACAAGAATGATGCAAAACTTGTTTAAACATCTGTATCGGTTTGCGAGATACGTGTTTTTTAAGTTTAACTAACAAAAGAGGCATTTCACCCCAAATTGGCTGTTACCATGGTAATTTGTTAAAGTTAGCTCAATTGACATACCTGGAAAAATCCATAGGATCCATGGGTATAATTTCCAAGTTTTAAATTTTTTCTCCAGTGACCAATATATTTTCTAAAAGTAAAATTAAAACGATATTTTACCCAAAAAACATATTTTGAGATAAAACCACATGACCAGATGGTCGAACTTTTGGGCACCCCTTCTGAAATGATGCGGTATGTCCTAAAGGTCATCTCTACCAATTTTGGTGCTTTAATCATTTCTGTAACGATTCTTCCAAATATTTGGATTAAGCTACCCCACTATGAAAATCGGTATTAATATACTTTCTTTCCATACTGTCGGGATATTCTCCTCCTCCATCACCTTCCCCCTCAGCATCCTTAACACGACAATGCCTTCCTCTCCCATCGCTTTCCAGGCTTCTATGGGGATGCCGTCTGGTCTCGTGGCTTTCCCGTTTTTCATCTTCTTCAGCGCTTGTTGCACCTCTATCCTTGATATTTCCAAGACTGCACCCTGGTTAGCATCTCCATCACCTCTGATCAGCCGTTCATTTCCCTCGTTCAGTAATTTAGAGAAATACTGTTCCCATCTCTTGATGTTTCCTTGTTCTGTGCTGATTAAATTTCCATTCTCATCTTTCATTTGCTTAATGTGTACGATATCTTTTGTGCTTTTATTCCTTGTCTTCGCCAGTTGGAAGACCTTTCCCTGTCCTTCCTTGCTGTCTAGATCTTCATACAACTGATCTTAGATCGTGCTCTTAGCTATTGCCACGGCTCTCTTTGCCTCTTTATTTTTGGTCTTATATTCTTCTTTATCTCTCTCGGCTAGGGAGATTTTCCATTTCTTCTTAGCCTCTTTCTTCTCCGTTATTGCCCGTTGTACTTCAGCATTGAACCACCAGGTTTCTTTATCTTTCCAGATCTTTCCACTAGTGCCTCCTAAAATCTCTTTTCCTGTACGTATCAGAAATTCCGCTGTTTCATTCCACCAGGAGTATAGATCTTCAATTTCTTTGCTAATTTGCCCGAGTACTCTCTTTTTGAACTCTTCTTTCTTCTCCTGATATATGCCATTTGATCTTCTTGGGTCCAGTGGCATAGATCAGGAGAAGAAAGAAGAGTTCAAAGAGAGAGTACTCGGGCAAATTAGCCAAGAAGTTGAAGATATATATATGTATATATACATACTTGTATATATATGTATATATACATACATGTATATATATGTATATATACATACACATACATAAATACATATATATGTATATATATATATATATATATATATATATATATATATATATATATATATATATATATATAAATATGTATATATTTATATATGTTAATGAATATATATATATATATATATATATATATATATATATATATATATATATATATATATATATGTATATTATATATATATACATACATATATCTGCACACACACACACACACACACACACACACACACACACATATATATATATATATATATATATATATATATATATATATATATATATATATACATATATATATATATATATATATATATATATATATATATATATATATATATATACTTATATGTATATATATATGTGTATATATACATATACATACATACATACATATATATATATATATATATATATATATATATATATATATATATATATATATATATATAAACACACACACACACACACGGATTTGCAAATATTGGTAATACATTGATACGATATTGTTGCCAGCGCGCTGCCCTGTCGTTCAGTCCGTGCATAGTGAAAGGCAATGGGAATTCAC